GGGGGGCGGGGGCGGCAGGGGGGGCCGGCCCTGGCCCCCGGGCCGGCCCTGCCTCCCGGTGGGAGCATCCAGCGCCCAGCTCATGCGTGGCTCTCCCTCCAGGTGTCAGTCTGGCACTGTGCTATCCGCCCGGCCGCCCAGCAGCCAGCTCCAGGAGCTGCCTCTTCATCCGCTTTCGAATTAACAAAGAACGGACACCGTGACTGGGCTTCTCATCCCGGCTGTGCCCTTTCTTGCAGACCTGTAGCAGCGCTCGTCGGGTCAGTGTCAGTATTCCTGAAGTAGCTGTGGCCTGGTGTTTGATCCGCTTTTTCTAAAGTGACCGACAAAACACCTCCTCCTGATTTTTGTTCGTGGGGCTCTGGCTTTTCATATGTCTGTTGCAAGCAAAGAAATGGGAGAGGCCCTGGGACTCCTTTTCCCTCTGTTGGAATCTGCTACCGTGTGGGAGAATTTGGCCTGCTCTGGGTTTTCCAGAAAAGGCAGTTGAGCGCCCAGGAACGAAATCTGTCATCAGGCTGACCTTAGTTGAGAAAATACATTTGGGAATGTTGGTCGAAGGTATCGCGTGTCTTCCTTCGCATGGTGCTTACAGCTGCGTCCGTGTGCAGCTCTGTTTTTCTTTACCTGTGTACAAAACCAGTTGTGTTTTCCCTTGGTATGGGAAGAAGGAGGTGTATTTCAGAATCCCGTGTTCAGGAGTATGTTTCAGTGCAAAGCCTGCGCATAAAATACATGCACTGGTTTATGACCACAGAGACCGTGTATTTATTCATGTGCATAAAGCACTTTTGGTTCTGTATCGGTGTGCAAAGAAAGCTTGCAAAGGGCCACGTACAGGATATGTGCTTACCGACAGTTACATCAGGGAAGAGAGATATGTGAAGCCCCTTGTCATGTAAAACAGAGAGATCCTGTCTCATCCTTTCTTGGACGGAGCCAAAGCATCTGTGAAATTAACTACTGGATGTTGCTATGTGGTGGAGTTGCACGTAAGAAAAGAAGGTTCA